GTTACTTTGAAGACAGTCCATTTTGAAAGAAGTTCCAAGGCACTCAAGTGAAAAGGAACAAAAAGTCTAATATTCCTGGTACCAGCCTACAGTAGACAAGTGAGTTGACCAGGGAAGGCAGGGGCTGTGACCAAGTGTCACTTTACCTATTCATGATCTGGAGCCTGGAATGAAAGTTTCACAAAGCTTTCTGCAAACATAAATAATCCAAGGTATGAATGTTTTTTAATGAGCTGCTAATTGTCTTGAAGGTGGAGCATACAGAAGGGGTGGGAAGAAGGGAAGCAACCAACCTCCTAGCCTACCTCCACTTTGTCCTAAGCTATACTTTCCTTACGGAGGATGTTGCCAGCCGAGCCATGTGCTACTGGCACAAGGCACTGGGTTAATTTTTTGTTCTGACCAGAGATAAAATTAAAAGTCTGTGACATCGACTTCTGGCTCCAAAATGAACTTTATTTGAATGTTATTCAATAGGGTGAAAAAATATCCTGTGTGGTTGTTATTCCACACCCATCACCAACGAAGTTGGACTGAATTGGTTCGGGACAAAAATTCTATGCAAGCCAGAGCTCTTTTAAAAATGATCACAACTATCACCTAGGAAAAGAAAGGAGTCCCCAGTTTACCTTGATTTAGAGGCCTTAGCACTTCTGGAAATGAAAATGATTTGTACCTTTATGTTCCCCTTCCTTTCCTTGGTGTTTTAGTCATCTCCTAATGTGACTCAATAGTGGACTGAATTGTCTCTCAGGTGATTCACAAGGTCCTATAGTTCTCCCAAGTAATAAGCCCTCACCCATCAAAGTCATTTTGAACACCTGGTACTTAACTTCCCAAAAGCTTGTTTTTCAATAAGGAAGCAAAATCACATACCACCCCCCACCCATAGGTAAGATCCCAGAATAGAACTCTGGCCACAGACTACAAGAATCAGGTTCTTCAAGGTTCTCTAGATGGACTTGTTTTCCCTAGGAGACCTTGTTTCCCATCTCCCATGTTAAGGAAGATCTTCTTTATTAATCCCCTGCTCACTAGAGATCAGGAACCCCAGTGGGTAGAATGTTCAGCTCCCAAGGAAGATATGCTGCAGAGGCACATGGCAAACTGCTTAAAAGATAAAAAAAAAAAAACAAAAAAAAAACTTGTGGTCAACAGACATGTGGAAGAGTCCCTCCCATCCAATCCAGAAGTTTAATAATTTGAGAATCTGTACCCCACAGAAAACTAGTCCTAAGTCTCACCCAAGTCACCACAGGACAGATATACAAGATAGCTTATCAATTCTAGAGTCTCCACGCTTCAATGACTTTTAAAAATGAAAATTATATGGAGAGTTTGATAAAGACTTGACTTTGAAAAAGCTGAGGGAAGAAAGAAAAGAAAGGAATCGAACACCCACCACCCTCAGACAGGGCATGACTTTTGAACATGCACCAATTGCCACATCACTGCACAAGTTGGAAAATAAAGAGGACGTTATATTTTTCATTAATGCTTTCCAAGACTTTTAGAAGGGAAGGAAAAAGAAATTCAAAAAAAGTGGCTCTTTGGAAAAAAGAAATGAAGGTTGTGAAATGTAATACCAGAAAGGTTTTGCTTACCAGAAACCGTAGCTTGATTCCCCCTGCCTTGAGTTTACAAATGCCGCCTCCTTTCCTAAAGATTCACTTCTCATCCTAGTACCAATGTACAGGAACTAAGCAAGTGGAGAACGTGATACAGCACTGAATACAGTTTGTCCCCAAACCGAGGTGGGAAGAAGGGCGATTTAGAATCAGAAGCCTACACGTACCCACCTTTCCCCAGATTCTCATTACACCAAACGACCAATTGCAGGTGAAGCCCAAAGACTGGTTCCTGAGCAGAAATGGCACATTTCAGTGTCACTGGGCCCAGTTTGTCTCCAGGTTACTCTCACATGTCCTTGTGTCTTTCCCATCTCCTTTCTCCCAACACATATACATACACACGCGCTCTCACACCCAAGAGCCTCCCATTCTTCAAGTAGTTGAAGTTTGCCTGTTTTTTTTCACCCCTGGCAATTGAAGCAGAGGAAAAATTCCAAGCAGTTGTGATGAGTGAAGTGAAATTAAAAGCAACTAGCTGACTTGTTAAACATAAAAACTAGGGCTAGACAAGGAGATGGACAGCCTTGACACCTAGTTCCTATAAGCTTTTATCCCTTTGAGATAAAGGCTGTTTAAAAGATTTTATATAAAGAAAATAAGGAAATGTCTTCTCTTGTCTCCTCCCAAGCAGCAATGCACACAGGGAGTCCAGAAGGCATCCGTTCAGGGGTGGAGTTTCAAGAGGGTGGAGAGAGGAGGAAGAAAGCTGATTACATCACCTTTCAGTGCTGCTCCTCCCCCTTGGCCAAGTTTCTAGGGCAGCCCTAAGCTCTGGATGGCAAAAGGAGGAGAAAAACAACAAAGAAGGAGGGACGCCATTTTGTAATGGAGAAGAGGACTCAAACTTTTAAAAAGCCACCCGGTTCTGCCGGTAGCTAGGATTACATTATAAAAAAAAATCTTTAAAAACGAAAAGCCACCCCCCCATCCTAAATAACCTTTGATCTACTTGGATCAGTAAGAACGTAGTGAAAATAAAATCAATTAAAATATTAAAAATAACAATTTTCTGCAGGGAAGAACTGAATTTGCAACTGAGGTTCAACCTGCTACAATCGACCACCCCCATTCTCCCTACAGACGTAAAGGGGGAGGACTTGGACCTCTCTCAACAAATAGGGTTGAGGTGGGAGGACAGGAGAAAAATGGGTCAAGACACAACCTGCAACGCCGCTTGGAAGACAAAAGGACAAGGAAAGTCGCCATATTGAAGCAGGGAAGAAAAAAATTCCTTTTAACGACACAAATCTTTTAGAAAGCTAGCATTCAATTGCACTAAATGGCTTTTAAAATTATATTCCTAAATTCCACATTTCCCAACCTTTCCACCCTCTATTTAACTGTATCCTCCCACCAAGAAATATCAAGTTAAAAATGTTAATCACTTTTTTGCTTTTAAATAACCTATGCAATCTGCAACAATTACAAGACATTCTTTACCTCCCCATTATCTTGTATGTAGTCACTAATATTATATTTTGCCCTAAATTGTGTCTTGCAATCTTTATTCTTAGATTGCCACCTATTTTAACCACACAAATACCCCAAGCAAATTACATTAAAATTGAGAGGATTTTAACAATCACTTAAAAAGTCATAGCCAGCTATTATTACTCTCCGCCCATCTCCTTACCCTGCAATCTTTATGTACAGATTGCTTATTTATCTGGCAAATTGAAAGGCGCCCTGCTTGTCTCACACACAAAGAAGTGGGACTTCTGGGCCACAAGATCCACCATCTTTTGTATGTGAGCTCATTAACCCTTTTGAAGACTGCTAACCAGAGGAAGGTAACCATTCCTCCTTATAAAAAGCAAACACTTATGGCTTTGGCAGTCTGGAAATTGGCTGGATTACCAAGGGTTAACCATCAAAATCCTCACTTGCTGGCCCTCCCTCCACCCTCTCCTTGCCTGCAGCAGGGCAGGGAAGAGATAGGTGGCAGGGGAGAGAGAACAAGACTGTTTAGACCCAAAGGCCCTTTTTAATGGAGATCAAGTGACCGGATTGGTCCTTCTCCAGTTCTATATTTGTTCTATGGTCTCATTTCTTCCTCTCATTATTTTTGGTTTCACAACGGGAAACGTTGAGTTCTTGTTGCAAGGCTGGTTTTTGAAAATTCGACACTTACTATCCAATTTTTTTGCGACGTCAGCACCTCGGGCTCAGGGGGGAGGGGGTAAAATTTTGGAGGAAAAAAAACAGAACAACCAACCAGGACCCAAAACTCAATTATTTGGGGGGCCTCATTGGATCAAAAAGTCTCTTAAAAAATAAAGGCCAACTCAGTATTCATTTCCCCCCCCACCCAACTCCATTTAGGGAGGGGGGTCGTAGAAAAAAGTTCTGAGTGGATTCAAAAAAGTAAACGCTGGATGAGTGAATTTGGGTGGGTTTGGGAAGGGAGGGTGGTTGATTGTTTTTGAAGTTATGTGGTGACGGTCCTTCGGCCACAGATTTCAAGTCCCAAGCAGCGTGGGCTGGTGGGGTGGGCAAGATAGGTGGGAAGGGGCAGAAGACACAAGTGGTTGGGCTGGTGGCTGCTGTTTTCCCTTTCCCCCCTCAGGATCCTTTCAAGGGCTTAGATGTTGCTGCAGCTTGTTTCTGTTTTCCTCGTGGCCGACCTGTCTTTCTCCGAGAAAATTCAAACCTGGGATAAAAGGAACACAAGGGAGAAAGATGCAATCAAATACGGGTTGCTTTTAGAACGCCCCAAATTACCATCTTAGTTGTCCCAAAACACACCCTCACGTCCCATCCTGAACACAGCCACTTTATTTATTTAAGTCGCGGCTCTCAACGGACTCCACTCCTATCTTGCTTCCCAGTCCAACGCTTACAGAAAAACTTAGCCCACTAACCAGCAAAATCCCCAAACTTACCTCTAAACGAACCCCAGAATGGCGGCTGCCCGCTCGGGTGGAATCTTTTATACCCGGACGCCGCCCAACGCGCCCAAACGTGCTAGTGAAACGCCCTTGTCGCGAGACATTGTGCGCGAGGCGTGAACTCATTGGTCGACCCTAAAGACAAATCGTCAGATGATTGGCTACCCCTCCTCCGCCTTCGCTCGGCCCCTTGCCTCGGCTCTCTCTTCCGCCTCCTTCCTGCCCCCGTCGTCGCCGGCGCGTGACCAGAGCGCCTAGCACCTCCCTTTCCTCCGCTCCCACCACTTCCGCCCTCGAGGACATTTCTCCCCTTGGGTTGGTAGAAACGCAATGGCGCATGCGCACTAGGAGGATCCCGGTCAAAATCCCACTCAAAATTGCTTAAAACGTAAACTCGATGGATGGGATCTAGGAGTTGTAGTGACTGGTCCAGAAAAAAGGCAATTTTGGGGTCTAATTCGATTGTGACGCAGTTGAAATTAGCTTCTCCCCCAAACCCCCCTCTTCGACGCTTCCGTCCTGACGCAAATGCGCAACCGCCTTCCGCATTGCGGGCTCCTTGGCCCTACCCTAATCTGTTTCCTAGAGCATGCGCAGTTGCCTTTTCGGCCATTTATGCGCTTGGCGTAGGTCAACATGGCGGCCTCCGTATTAAACACGCTGTTGAGGCGACTTCCTGTCATCTCGTCCTTCCGAAGTGCCTACGGAGTTCAGGTAACTCTTCGAAGGACAGTTTGTACAGCCCAAAGTTAGTTATACCTTTTGTAGGTCGTCGGTCCACTGCCGGGAATTCACGCGCAGAGATCCTCCCAGTGCATAAACCTTGGCCGTCTAGACAACGCTTTACTTCCTGCAATTCCTTCCCTCATACTGCGCGCATTTTCTAATCCCGAGGCAAGGGCTGAGAGCCAGCGTTATATGTCATCCTCTTTCCAAAATATTGTTTCAGCAAAATTGCCCGTTGCCTCTTCCAGTCTTGCACAACCAGCTCCTAGCTACTCAAGTAGTGTCTAAATCTGTGATGTCCCGAGAGTGTTTCTGGATTGAGAGACCCTAATTTCTATCAGCCCTGCTATCTCCCCAGTAAAGTCAGGATACATTTCACGACCTAGAGAACAGTTTCTCAGCTGTTTTTATTTTACTATATCAGTTTCTTTCTTTTTTTTTTTCGTGTCAGGGAGTCCATCGCCTTGGCTGGAGTACAATGGTACGATCACAGCTCACCACAGTCCTGGTCTCAAGTGATCCTCCCACCTAAGCCTCCCGAGTAATTGGGACTGCAGGTGTGCACCACCACACCCAGATAATTTTTCAATGCTTTTTTAGAGACGAGGTCTCACTATGTTGCCCAGGCTGGTCTTGAATTCCTGAACTCAGGTGATCCTCCCACCTCCGCCTCCTAAAGTGTTGAGATTGCATGCTATCGTCCCAGCCTTTATGTCAGTTTCTTATCGGAATTCTGAGAATATAACTCTGTCCTTGAATTGAGGTTTCCCTCTAGCTGCATGTACTCACCTCCTTGGAGGTTCTTGGTAGGGCAGGGCAGTTTCTTGGTGGGGCAAGGTGAGATAGGATGGCTTACCCAGCTGCCACTCCCTAAAGTGGGACTGAAGAGTGGAGACAAAGATCACCACAGAATTAATAATAGCTCTGGTAACTTTAAACCTAGCGTTAGGACTCAAGTTTGTTCTGTCCTATGGAATGTTGACCTTCCACTTTTTATAAAACTGGGCAACTCAGTGACTCAAGATTGTATTGGTTTGTAGACTCGCCTGTTGCATCCCCTCCCCCACACATATTCCAAGAAGCTAGACATCATTCTTTTTCCTTCCACCAGACCCTATTCATTTCCAAAAAGCATGGTACTTCTTATTATGCACTAGGTGTTTATTTATTTCTGCATGCAGGTTGGCACATTGATAAGCCAGCTTATTAAATTATCTTCTCAAATAAGATTGTTTTCCAGACATCTATCCTAGTTATCCCCTAACATTAGTTTCTCTTTCAGGATGGGGGATAAGGAGAGTGGTTGCTGATTTGTATCAGTTTAATTCCAACAAAATTTTTTCTTCTGTATGTATGTTCCTGTTATAGTCCATTAACACAATGAGTATGAATTTCTCTCTCTCCCTAAAGTGTGATAAGCAAAATAATCTGAGTCCTTTCTTTGAATTCATTATTTTTTCTTCTTTATAGGTTCCCCTCCAGGCTCTTTGCAACAAAGCTTCCCCTGAGAAAGATTCTTTGCCCCTAGTTCCCATTTCACCTTATAAGAATGAGCCCTGGAAATATTTGGAATCAGAAGGTACCTCTAAATGGGGAAAGGAAGGGTTCCATAGGATTTGAGATAAGTGGAGCGAGACACCCCTTAACACTTCCGCCCAGGAATAACTTGTGTGGTCTTTTATTTCAGAATACCAGGACCGCTATGGTTCTCGCCCTGTCTGGGCTGACTACCGCCGCAACCACAAGGGTGGTATACCCCCACAGCGGACTCGAAAGACATGTATTGTGAGTTCCTGAGGGTGGAATATAGAGTGGGATGGAGGCCATAGTGACAGTGGCAGTAACACTTTCCGACAGGGTTTTGAACATCAACTGCCAGTTTCTTCTCTCTACAGCGTAAAAGTAAAATTGCTGGGAATCCCTGCCCCATCTGCCGGGATCACAAGTTGCATGTCGACTTTAGGGTAAGGAGTCTCTTTTCTTTTTAGGGTAAGGAGAATAAAGATTTAGAGCCCCTTCGCAATGCAGAAGTGCCTCATACTTTATATCCTGGAGCTCTTACAGTCCATTTTGTTGTAACTATTTCTGGCATTATCAAAACATTCCTTCCTCCAGCGAGTCCAGGATGGGACTTGCTCCTTAAGTAACTTGAAAATATTATAAAAAATGATAACAGGAAGGTGTTCTGAGTTTGCAGTGAAGGTATTAGAGAAAAAGTATGGTCATCAGAGAAGTAAGAGGGCATTTAGTTATCTTTCAGCTGATGGATGTGTCTGACTGCTCTAAGGACCCTTCCGATACAAGTTATAGTGGAGTCCCATATATAACTTCCTAGTTTCAGCTATTCATGACTGGTTATTTAAAAAAAAAAAAAAGCTTATAACCAGTTCTATAACCAAAGGAGATTACAATTTGAGTAGTATAGGTGATTCTGTCTGCGTTCTGCTTTGCAAATGTACCTGCTTTTTCCTCAAGAGTCTAGTTTCTTGTGATTAATTTGCTAAGAGTTTTATATAATTAAAACTATAAAATTATACTTAGAATATGTATTCAGCATGCTATTATATATATAAAATTGCTTATACACACATATTGCAATGTCATTTTCTGGGTGATTTCTGGGATTTCCAATGACCATTCCCAGTTTTTTGCATGAAGGTTGACTGTAGAACATAATCCCTACAGAATAGATTTCTATGTGAGTACAGTGACAGAATATAGAACATGTGTGTGAAATGGTTGAAAGGCCAGAAAAGGAGAAAAGTTTGCTGGAGTTTTTAAGACTGTGTTCCAGCCGGGAGTGGTGGTTCACATCTGTAATCCCAGCACTTTGGGAGGAAAAGGCGAGAGGATTGCCTAAGCCCAAGGGTTTGAGACCAACCTGGGCAACTTGGCGAGACCTCGTCTCTACAATAAATCAAAAAATTAGCCAGGCATGGTGGCATGCGCCTGTGGCTCCAGCTACTTGGAAGGCTGAGATGGAAGGATTGCCTGAACCCAGCAGATCGAGGCTGTGGTGGCCGAGAGTGTGCCGTTGCACTCCAGCCTGGGCAACAGAGTGAGACTTCAACTCAAAAAAAAAAAAAATGTTCAGTGAATCGATGAGGCCAAAGCAGAACATGAAGGAGGATAGCATCAAGAGAGATGTAGAGGGGTGAAGGTTGTCTGTGTAGGTGTGGGGATTCTGATGCACCTTCAGTCTTCAATGATCTTGCTGTTCTCCCTCCCTGTCATCTCATGTGTTTCTATGACTCTCCCCCACAGAACGTGAAGCTCTTGGAACAGTTTGTTTGCGCTCACACAGGCATCATCTTCCATGCTCCATACACAGGTTAGCCCTTCATCCCCGTCACCACTAAAATAGCTTTTCCTTGCAGCACTCCTTGTTTTTGCAATTGGACAACAGATATTTGTTCAGTGGCTCCTACTTATGGCATCAAAGGTCTGGCTGACCTTGGCTTACTGAGAGTACCCACATGCTGAAACAATTACCGTGAACAAAAGAAAAAGGCAAGTACTTCTATAAGCAATCTATCTAGATGTAGTTCTTTTGTTTTTTTTTTTTGAGTTGAAGTCTTACTCTGTCGCCCAGACTGGAGTGCAGTGGCACGCTCCCGGCCACCGCAGCCTCGACCTGCTGGGCTCCGGCGATCGTTCTGTCTCAGCCTTCCAAGTAGCTGGAATTATAGGCGCGCAATACCACGCCCGGCTAATTTTTCGATTTATTGTAGAGATGAGGTCTCGCCAAGTTGCCCAGGCGGGTCTCAAACCCGCAGGCTCAGGCAATCCACTCACCTCGGCCTCCCAAAGCACGGGATTACAGGCTGAACCACCAAGCCCGGCTCTAGATGTAGTTCTTAAAAGATAAACGGTAGTGATTATTTTTCCTTTTTATAGGGTCTCCAGAATTTTACAAAAGGCTTTCCTTAAAAATTCTCACATAAGTTCTTTTGTACTGTTGTCAATTCAATTAGATTTTCCAAACTTGAACTTGTAGATTTAACAATTCAGGATTATTTCTTTTTGAGTTGGAGTCTCACTCCTCTGCCCAGGCTGGAGTATAGTGGGTGGCATGCAGGCTCACGGCCACCCCAGTATCTACCTTCTGGACTCCAGCGATCCTTCTGCCTCAGCCTTCTGAGTAGCTGGAACTACAGACACACGCTACCACGCCCGTCTATTTTCTGTTTTTTGTTGTAGAGGCAAGGTCTCGCCAAGTTGCCCAGGCTGATCTCGAACCTGCAGGCTCAGGCAATCTACCTCACCTCGGCCTCCCAAAGTGCTGGGATTACAGGCTGAGCCATGGAACCTGGCTCAGGATTATTTCTATTCCCCAACTATAGCCACAGGCCAAGTCTGGCCCACTGCCATGTCTGTTTGTTTTCATATTATCTACAACTTCCTCCAGGCTACAGTGGCAGAGTTAAGTACCTGAGAGAGACCACAAGACCTGCAGAGCCTAAAATATTTACTATATGGTTCTAGGCAGAAAAAATTTGCCAACGCCTGCTCTGAAGCAAGATACATGTGCAAAGAATAATTCAGGTCCACCATTACTGGACGTGGCTGTATGATTAGTGCTCAGTTTGTCAGACTTTTTGTTATTATTATTATCATTATTATTATTAGAGTCAGGGTCTCATTTACCCAGGCTAGACTGCAGCAGCACGATCACAGCTTACCACAGCCTCAACCTCCTTGGCTCATATGATCCTACCACCTCAGCCTCCTGAGTACCTGGGATTATAGCCACGCACCACCATGCCCAGCTAATTTTTATTTTATTTTTTGTAGAGACGAGCTCTTACTATGTTGCCCAGCCTGGTCTTGAACTCCTGGGCTCAAGCAGTTCTCTTGCCTGTTGGAATTACAGGCATGAACCACCGTGCCTGGTTTAGTTTGTCAGAGTTTTTAATAATCAAGCTGTAAAAGGCTGATGGGACTGTTATTGTTAGTCTCTCAAATTGCCTTTCCCAGATCTGAACTCAGCTCATAGAATGAGGAAGAACTTTCCTGTTATTGGGCAGATAGGGAAACCAAGATCCATGGAAGGATCAGACAAATGGGGTCATTAAGAAAAGCCAGGGCTGGGCTCGGTGGCTCAGACTGTAATCCTAACACTTTGGGAGGCCGAGGCTAGTGGATTGCCTGAGCCTGTGGGTTCAGGACCAGCCCAGGCAACTTGGCGAGACCTCGTCTCTGCAATAAATAAAAAATTAGCCGGCCATGGTACCCTGCAGTGGTGGTTCCAGCTACTTGGAAGACTTGAGGCGGAAGGATCACCAGAGTCCAGCAGGTCGACGCTGGGGTGGCCATGGGTATGTCACAGCACTCCAGCCTGGGCAACAAAGTGAGACTCCAACTCAAAAAAAAACAGAAAAGCCAGGTCTTCCAAATCCAGCCCTGTGTCACCATTTAGAAACACTTAGGTTCTTTTATTTACTTTGCCTTAAAGAATAAGTATTTAGTTATTTTTCTCCCCACAGGGGTCTGTATGAAGCAGCACAAGAAGTTGACCCAGGCCATCCAGAAAGCCAGAGATCATGGTGAGCATAAAAAAAGGGGTACAAGGCAGTTTTGTTAGGCATAGAAAGGTTACTTGAGGCTGGAGGATGGATATAAATACATCTGTCCAAGAACGTACCCAACTTGATCTTCCTGAGAATCTTTTTCTACATTCCATTGTCGCTTGTCCTTTCTGAATCTCTTACCATTGCCCCGTCCCCTTATTTTTTGTCTTCCCTCTTTCCCTTTTATTTTGCAACCGCTGGTCCCAATGTCATAGCAAGATTATAGGAAGATCCTTGTATAAAAGTTTCTGGTCCTAGGCTACATGACACCATTGTGCAAGCTAGTAACTGCTAGGACAAATGCAGCTTCACAGCCCTAGTGCAGAACTGCACAGCTTTGCAGGCAAGAACCCAAGCAGTATGTTAGCCCACACTTAACCCTTAGCCATTTGCTTTTGTGCAGGATACAACATGCATAAATGTACCCAGTGGCTCTGGTCTCTCCATTTATAAATGTTTTTGTTATGGTCTGTCTTAATCTAAATTACCCTCTTCACTCCCCTCTCTACTTTCTTTCTTTCTTTTTTTTTTTTTTTTTTTAATCTCTTAGGTCTCCTCAGTTACCACATTCCCCAGGTTGAGCCCCGGGACCTTGACTTCAGTACCTCTCATGGAGCTGTGAGTGCTACTCCACCAGCCCCCACCCTGGTTTCAGGCGATCCCTGGTATCCATGGTACAGTTGGAAACAGCCACCAGAGAGAGAACTATCTCGACTTCGCCGGCTCTATCAGGGTCATCTCCAAGAAGAGAGTGGCCCCCCACCTGAGTCAATGCCTGAGGTGCCCCCCCACAGCACGAGCTGAAGCCTCCACTGAGCAGACTGGCCCCCACAGTGCTCTGTAGGAGCCGTAGACTGGGAAGGGAGCCAGTGTGCTAGGAGATAATGCATAGGTTTATGTGATGTGATGTCACCCAGAAGAGTTTTGTCTTTTGTGGCCAATGGCAGACCCAGGAAGTAAATGAAGGTTGAAGAGGATAAATCTGAAGCTGAAGGAAGGCAGTTACACATGTGTATAGGAAACCCAACCGCTATAGATTGTAAATAGACGGGCTAAACATGTTACTATTTCCGACTTCTGCCAACTCAGCTTTTCCACAATAAAGCGCTCTCTCTCTCTTGTCTCTGGCTTGCTTTGGGCTGGTTCAAATAAATGTCATGGGCGGGGTGGGAGCAGGCCAAGTGGGGTTTGTTCTTTCCAGAAATGGAGTGGTCTTGTGGGGAAAGGAGTGACTCCTGGGATCGGCAGCTGGGGTTGGGCAGTTGTGTCATTCTGTCATGATGGCCTTTGTGAGTCCTGTGCCCTACTTGCAGTGTTAAACCATGGCCAGCTGTTCACTGAGGGACTATAAACTTGGAGAGTGAGACGCTGGGCAAAGGAAAACTACGTTGCCATGGTACCCACTATCGTGGGAGGCAGGGATGGGAGAGAGTGGCGTTGCTAAGGGGACAGCTCATTTGGCAAGAACAAGGTTCCTCGGCTGACTGCCAGGACGCTAGGGGCAGGGTCTTCAGGCGGGGCTCCTGGAAATCAAGACTCCGAGGGGCGGGACTGCGAGGGGAGTGGCGGAAGTGACGTCGTGCGGGGCGGGTCTGGCCGTGCACAATGGGCCATGGAGTTCCCTTTCGATGTGGACGCGCTGCTCCCGGAGCGGATCACGGTGCTGGACCAGCACCTGCGGCCTCCAGCCCGCCGACCCGGAACCACAACGCCAGCCCGGTGACATCTCAAACCTACCCCAAGGCCCTTCTTTCCCGGTTCCTCTTCAAACCTGGTCAAGGCACCACGCCCCCTTTTCACCGACTAGTAGCCGCTCCTTTTGATGTCCTGGGCTGCCCTTTGGGTGACCTCTGACCTAGGCCTAGTGGGGTTGATCAGCGCTTGGATTTGTGACCTTTCACCCCTGGGCCCAATATGTGGTCCCAGCCAAAGGATGTGATTGACCGGTACTTCCTGCTTCCCCACAATAACCTTAAGGGAAGAGGGAGTGTACCACTTTGAACGGTGTGACAAAAGTTTGGGTTTCAGAGGGATGAATTGGGGGATCAGATTGTAAGACTCCCAGGCAAAGACAGAAAGCCTTGATTATTGAACCTGGGTTGGAATTGGGGCCCAGGCTCCCAGGAGGGACTGCCCAGGACCCTCTCTTTCAGTATCTGACTCTTTACTCTTTTCTTTCTATAGTGTTGATCTGCAGCAGCAAATTATGACCATTGTAGATGAACTGGGGAAGGCTTCTGCCAAGGTACTGGGGAGTCTTTCGATGGACCAAAGTGGGGACCTCTGTGGAGATGGTAAGGGAGGCCTGGGTCCTTTGGAGGGACTTGCAGAAAGTCTGTGTTCATCTTCCTGGCAGGCCCAACATCTTTCTGCTCCTATCACCAGTGCATCAAGGATGCAGAGTAACCGCCATGTTATTTATATTCTCAAAGACAATTCTGCCCGACCGTGAGTGCCGAATGCTCTTCCATCCCATACTTAATTCCATCCTTCCCTCAGCCCTTCCTGCATCTTTGACTGCCTCTTCCAGATAGCTGCCACTAGCTTATTCATTATTTTCCCTATCCTACAGGGCTGGAAAAGGAGCCATTATTGGTTTCCTCAAAGTTGGATACAAGAAGCTCTTTGTACTGGTGAGTATTACTGGAAGCTGGGAGTTCGCATGCCTTGGTGCCTGAGAACAAAAATGCTGGAGTTAGGGGCCAGCAAAAATGCCTGGGTCCTAAAAGATATTTGTTATTTACCTCTTAGGATGATCGTGAGGCTCATAATGAGGTAGAACCACTTTGCATCCTGGACTTTTATATCCATGAATCTCTGCAACGCCATGGCCATGGGCGAGAACTCTTCCAGTATATGTTGCAGGTATCACTTATCTCCTCACTGGTCCATCCAAATTAGAGACCAAAGGCTCTTCTGCCCTGAGTGCTTCCAGAGGCCCTGCCTCCCACCTGCCATGTTCCTATGTCCTCCAATTCCCTTTCCAGACTCCTGGGTTCCTGTTGGCATGCTTCCCCTATACTTTGCTTTACCCTGAGTCCCCTGTTCCCTGCAGAAGGAGCGAGTTGAACCACATCAACTGGCCATTGACCGACCCTCCCAGAAGCTGCTGAAATTCCTGAATAAGCACTATAACCTGGAGACCACAGTCCCACAGGTCAGAAATTTCGGAGGGTAGATCCCCACTGTGCATTCCCACTGAATTTATTTTTTTAAATGCTTTTCTTTCTTTTTCTTGAGTGTCTCTATGCAATGGATGTATTTATTATTGGGGGCAAAAAAGTGACTTCCAAGATAGGTTTCATTTTATACAACAAATCTTTTTTTTCGTGATACCATTTCTATCCTGTAGTCATTTCTCTCTCATCTATTTTGATTCTTTTTTTTGAGTTGGAGTCTCACTTTGTTGCCTAGGCTGGAGTGTAGTAGCACACTCATGGCCACCACAGCCTCAATCTGCTGGGCTTAGGAAATCCTTCCACCTCAGTCTTCCAAGTAGCTGGAACTACAGGAATGCGCCACTACGCCCAGCTAATATTTACTTATTTATTGTAGAGATGAGGCCTCACCAAGTTGCCCAGGCTGGTCTCAAATCCCTAGGCTCAGGCAATCCTTTCGCCTTGGCCTCCCAAAGTGCTGGAATTACAGGCTTGAGCCACCACACCTGACCTCATCTCTATTTTAAAAAAAAAAATTTATTTTTGAGTTGGAGTCTTACTTTGTCACCCAGACTCGAATGCAGTGGCACACTCACAGCCTCGACCTCCTGGGCTCAGTTGATCCTTCCACCTCAGCCTTCCAAGTAGCTGGAACTACAGATGCGTGCCATCTGCTAATTTTTTTTTTTTTGAGTTGGAGTCTCACTCGTCGCCCAGACTGGAGTGCAGGGGCACGCTCCTGGCACTGCAGCCTCGACTTGCTGGGCTCCGGCGATCCAACCACCTCAGCTTTCCAAGTAGCCAGAACTACAGGCCTGTGCTACCACGCCCGGCTAATTTTTTTTTTAAATTTATTGTAGAGACGAGGTCTCACCAAGTTGCCCCCGCGGGTCTCGAACCCGCAGCTTCAGGTAATCCACTCGCCTCAGCCTCCCAAAGTGCTGGGATTACAGACTGAGCCACCAAGCCCAGCCTAACTTTTTTATTTATTGTACAGACGCGGTCTCGCCAAGTTGCCCGGGCTGGTCTTGAACCCCTGGACTCAGGCAATCCTCTTGCCTCCACCTCTAAAGTACTGGGATTACAGGCATGAACCACTGCACCGAGCTATTTTTTTTTTTAAAGTAACCTGGAAGGTCATTGAAGAAAGTGTTTCAAGGAAAAAGGAATGGTTTACTGGGTCACTTACTACTTACTGATCAGTGAGCTACAGGGTCTGAGAAGTGACTGTTGGATTTAGCTGACTTAGGCCATTGGTGATCTTGATGAGCAGCTTTGGTGTAGTGGTGGGTAAAAGCCTGGAGTTTGTCTAGCGACTAAGAAGGTAGATCTGGACATAGTAAGAAGGGGCACTCATAAATGCTGCTTTAAGGGGAACAAAAATAGAGCAAGACCTAGAGGGGAAAGTAGATCAAGAGGATTGATCCTTTTAAGATGGGAGAACTAATAGCATAAGAACGATTCAGGAGAGATAAAATTTGATGTTGTGAAAGAAAGTGAGAAGAATTGCGAAGTGATGTCATTGAATGGGCAGGGAGGGTTGGGATTTGGTTGGAAAGTTAGCCTTAGATAGGAGAATGGACAATTAATCCATCATAAAATGATTTGATAGATGTGATTATATAGAAGGCATAAGGGCATGGTGGTGAATGCTACCTTGGACTGGGAGTTGGGTAAAGAAAGGCTTGATTTATGTCTAATCTTAAAAGGCTAATAATGTTTATCAGGTGGACAAAAGGGCGTGGGCTCAAATGCATTTCATGTAGAGGAACCAGCATGAGCAAAGGCAGAGTTGTTAAACCATCTTTCAGGGCACTATGTGCAGTATTATATGACTGGAGTAGTGTTGGCCATACACTTATTGAGGGAAGATGAGGGTGGGTTACTGGACATTACAGCAAGGTCAAGGCAAGAGATGGGCAGGGTCTTCCACAGTACATTTGTCTATTAAGAAGCAGCAGAGGTCAGACATGGTAGCTCAAGCCTGTAATTCCAGCACTTTGGGAGGCAGAGGCAAGAGGACTGCCTGAGCTCAGGAGTTTGAGACCAGCCTGAGCAACATAGGGAGACCTTGTCTCTATAATAAATAAAAAACTAGCTGGGTGTGGTGGCATGATTCTGTAGTTCCAGCTACTTGGAAGGTTGAGGCGGAAGGATCACCTGAGCCCAGCAGGTTGAGGTTGCAGTGGCTGCAAGCTAAAACTACACATACATGCTACCACGCCTGGCTAATATTTGATTTGTTGTAGAGACGAGGTCTTATTGTTCTGAGGCTGCAGGATGTTGATTAGGCTTCTGTGGTCACAACAGTTTGTAGAGTGTAGCTTTATTTATTTATTTATTTATTTTTTGAGTTGGAGTCTCACTCTGTCACCCAGGCTGGAGTGCAGTGGCCCACTCATGGCCACCACATCCTCGACCTGCTGGGCTCAGGCGATCCTTCCACCTCAGCCTTCCAAGTAGCTGGAACTATAGATGTGTGCCACCACAACCAGCTAATTTTTTTGACTTATTATAGAGATGAGGTCTCACCAAATTGCCCAGGTTGGTCTTAAACCCGTGGACTCAGGCAATCCTCTCACCTTGACCTCCCAAAGTGCTGGATTATAGGCATGAACCATGGCGCCCAGCCATTTACCCATTCTTAAATTGTACAGTAGGATGGGCATAGTGGCTCATGCCTGTAATACCAACACTTGGGGACGTGGAGGTGAGAGGATTGCCTGAGTCTAGGGCTCTGAGACCAGTCTGGGCAACTTGGTGAGATTTCATCTCTACAATAAGTCAAAAAAATTAGATGGGAGTGGTGGCAGGTACCTGTAGTTCCAGCTACTTGGAAGGCTGAGGCAGAAGGACCGCCTGAGCCCAGCAGGTCAAGGCTGTGGCGGTTGTGACCGTGCCACTTCACTCCAGCCTGGGCGATAGAGTGAGATTCCGACCCCAAAAAAAAAAAATACAGTATTCT